CTGGCAAACCTGTGACATTTTTTGTTTTTGTTTATTCATATTAGGGTCTATCTCAGAGGTGTTGTCATTAGGGGGTCATCCTCTTGAAATTGCTGTTTTTGTGTTTCAGTACATTGATGAACTATAGGAATTGGAAGTAGAATAAAGGTTTTTTTTGGGGGGGGATGAGGAGGTACAGTGGCGGTGGGGTAACAGGGAGACGATGTCAAGGAGTCTAGGAAAAAAAGAATGTGTGGAAACTGTGGTAGCAATTGTACAATTCTGCTTGACATGACTGAACTATGGAAGATATATTGTATATACTTGAATATATGCTGACCTGAGTATCAGCCAGGAAATCGTAATTTTACCGCAAAACTGCACCAAAAATGTGCTGGAAAACTCGGCTTATACTCGAATATATATGGTATGTATAAACTGCCAATTAATAAATAAAAAAATAATAAAGATCATGTATGGGTAAAGCGTAAAGGTGTCAAGTTGACAAAGAGTGGTCTGTGGCTCAGTGTGGTCTTGTAAGTGGGGAAACTGGAAACCTCCCTCTGTCCCTTTGCTTTCTTACTTGCTAGAACTCTACTGTGATCCTGTGCTTTGGTGGTATGTTTCCACAGATCTTTGAGATTCTGCACCCATTAGCCTGTAATCTTTCTGCTTCTTGGTTCAACAACATGAAGCTATGAGTTTGAAGAAGGGCTTATGGATTAGACTTGGGTGCTTTCTTTTAATATTACTTCCTGATACAAAGCTCTTTCTTATATACAGATGTCACTGGGTTTGTGACCTAAAACAGGCTCAATAACATGGACTTCCACTCACCGTAGCAGACTTTGCTACTGCTCAATTTGTCAGCAGCAGAGACCAAAACTGAGTCCACAATACAGGCCTATTCCTGGAGTTCTGCCACCAATGTAGTAGCAGGTTGAAGGGCAGCATTGTGGCCTTACTTTAATAAGACACTTCCTCTGGAAATGGAATTGCCATCCCTTCACATAATGCATGGTCCACACTACCACGTGTGGACTTACAGAATGCCTTATCCACTGGCATTGTATTCCAAACAGCAAATTAAGAGTTGGGCTAGATTGGTGCTCATGGAATCACCGGCCTTACCATGTTCCCTAACATCTTCAAGCAGCTGCCTTGACAGCAAAACAGAATGGTCTCCTAAAAAAAAAATGATTGTGCCATCGTGGTGGCACAATATTGAGGGCTGGGAATTGCAGTAAAAGGCATGGAGATGGCCATATCTAAATTCCTCTTCCTATTGCCAAGCACAGGTCAGCCGTGCCTCCAATCTTTCTTTACCTATCCTTGCACTATTTCTCTCACAGCACTCCACTTCCATGCTGGGTTTGACAATTTCTAACAAATGGCCACACAGAATTCACAGGCAAAGCTCATGGTAATGGGGGTTTATTAGGGAAGTTAATAGACTACCACAAGCCAGGAACTCTGCTTAGCCAAAAATCAAGTCTCACTGGCCCTCACCTCTCAGCCAAGTGATCTCTTGGCCTGTCTTTGTGGACCGAGTAGCTTGCCTATTGCTCCGCTCCAGTCCCACAGTCTTCCTATACTGCTTCTCTGTTCTGTCCCATGGTTTCCTTGCCTTAGTCTGGTCTTGGTCTGGCTTCTTTGCTTTGTCCCATTGTCTCTGTGCCACAGAGTGTGGTGTCTCTGGTTTCAGCCTCTAGCACTTCAGAGTGTATTTGAACAGTCTCTTGTAATGGTTTTGGGAATTCTCTCTTCCTGCCATGGAGGCTCATCCTTATGAGGGGAATGGCAGCTAAAATGGACTAACCCCCCTCTGTAGTGCTAAGTGTTAAAATGCATGTTAAGTGTTAAAATGCCTTTATAGTTAAATCCAATCATTTGGTAGGGAGTTACATGGATAGAAATTTAAGAATTAATAAATTTCACTCTACCACAGGAATGTTCTTCAGGAGACTGTGCTAAATCAGCATGCAATATATGACCAGGATTCATGTCCTAGGAACCAAAGTGTGCAAACAGGTGGCACATCATTACTCTAAGTGACCCTTTGTCCTTAAGGTCTGGAGGTTGTAGTTCCAAAAGAAACAGTACTCCCAGCTAGGTATACATGGATTCCAGTGAGCTAGAGCTTTTGGTCTGAAGTGAAGTGGTTGGTCATTAAGGACTCCAAGTCCATTTCAGTTTCTTTTCCTCTTTATTTTTTAATCCACTGAAACCACCATTTAGGTTTGAGGGATAAGGAACCTAGGGGACAACCCCCCCGGGAACAACCCCCCCCCCCATGTATGTACATATCACAGCCTGTCTCAAGAAATGAAATTATCCTGTTAATCCCCCACTACTCTCCACTTTCTGAACTAGAAATTAAGATCGCTCATTGTCTCTGACGATTTTGTGCTCATGCCTATCAAGGTCTGTATTTGAGTCAACTCCACTATCACAGTGGCTGATGTGCTTTGCACTAAGTGAATTATTTGCTAAGCAGGCAATAGAAGGGATAACTCAAGTAACCCAAGTGGACATTCACTAGTTTTCTATGACAATTAGTCTGATAAAGATAGGAAAAAACTGGGCTTCTGAAACAAAAAATTTGGTTCCCAAACTTAGCTGGCCTACTGCTTTGGGGGGAAAAAATTACTCAGCAGCCTCTGGTAATTAAAAACTCTTGTATACCCTCACTAACCCATAGTGCTACAGGGGACAACACTGGAGACACAGTGCAGGACTTGTGCCTGATCTGACCCCATCACTGGGCATGGAGCAAGGGGAGAAAAGCAATGAAGTCCCCAGGGAATACTAACAACAGACTTTGGGGCCAGGGCGTGGCACCCCATCAGACTGGAAAACACTCCTAAAGTTCAGCAAATCGACCTGGAACTATTTATAGGCTTTTCTTTTGTTGTTGTTGTTTTGTTTTCTTTGGTTGCTTTGTTTTGCTCTGTCTTGCTTTTGTGCTTATTATTGTCTCTGCATTCTATCTAGATAACATGGGCGGGTAAACAATCCAGTAGAGAAAACAATGGATTGATGGTTCTGGGTTGGGGGGGTGGAGGGACACAGGAGAGAGGGAGGTGGGGGAAAGGAAATGGGTGTTAACAAACTTAGGAGCAAGGGAACAACAAGTGATCTAAAAATCGATGGTGAGGAGGGTGTAGGATGCCTGGTGGGGCTTAATCAAGGGCAATGTAGTGGAGAGGAATTACTGAAACCCAAATTAAGGCTCAACATGATAATGGGAAATGAGGAAAGGGAAAGGAAATAGATGAAAAAACTAGGAAGCAAAGGACATTTATAGAGGTCTAAAACAGGTATGTACATATGTATATATATATTTATATAATGATAGGAAAATAGGTCTTTGTACGTATGTTAATTTTAAGGTAGCAGATGAACATTGGGCCTCTACTCAAGTATTCCCTCAATGCAAGAACAGTTTCTTTTAATAATGTGGCATTCTGTGATGTTCACCTTCCCACACAATCGCTGAAGACAAAAAGGGTGCATAAGCAAATGAGGTGAAGAAGCTGATGGTGCCTGGTTATCAAAAGATACAGTGTCTGGGGTCTTAAAGATAAACAAGAAGCAACAAAGTTCACACGGAAGCAGTACACCAGCCTGTGTGATCAAGAGGTGTCAATGGGATCAAGCATCAAAGACCCAGAACAAAAAAATCTTATCAATGTGAATAAGGGGGAGTGCGGAGTGGAGACCCAAAGCCCATCTGTAGGCAATTGGACATCTCCTTATAGAAGGGTTACAAGGACGAGACGAGCCAGTCAGGGTGCAGTATAGCACCGATGAAACATAACTTTCCTCTAGTTCTTTAATGCTCCCCCCACTATCATGACCTCAACTCTGCCTTACAACTCCGGCTAGACCAAAGCATGTACACTAGTATAGGTAAGAGCTTGAAACACAAGAAATTCAGGACAGATAAACCCCTCAGGACCAATAATGAGAGTAGCAATACCAGGAGGGGAAGGGGAAGGTGGGAGGAGAGGGGGGAATTGATAATAATGATCTACATATAACTCCTTCCCAGGAGATCGGACAACAGAAAAGAGGGTGAAGGTAGACAGCAGTCAGTATGACATGAAAAAAAATTTTTCAAGGGTTCATGGGGGAGGGGGAAAATGAGCAGCTGATATCAAGGACTCAAGAAAAAATGTTTTGAAAATGATAACAACATATGTACAAATGTGCTTGACACAATGGATGTATGTACACTTTTGTACTATAAGACCTAATCCAAGAAATGCAGGACCCTGTCATCACAGCATGACCCCCACCAACCTCCAAGGAATAGTATTAGTACATCAGAACTTGACATTTGAATTAAGTTCAATACTGTGGTCTGCAGGAATTTTATGGTCTCATACTGTTAACATTAGAAAACATTGTTCTTATTAGGAGTCCTGGTGTACTAGTGATTGTGTGCTGGGTGTGATTTGCCTGGCTGGCATTTCAAAACTACTAGCAGCTCCTTGGGAGAAAGACAGGACTTTCTACTCCTGCAGACAGTTAGTCTCAGAAACCCACAGGGGGTCGCTATGAGTCAACAATGACTCTGGCAGTGAGTTTGCTTTTGTTTTTATTAGGTGCCCTCTAGTTAGGTCTGACTCACACTGATGACTATATGCAACAGAATGAAACACTGTCTGCCTTGTGCCATCCTAACAACTGTTATGTTTGTGCCCACTGTTGCAGCCACGGTACCAATCTTGTCTTAGGTCATCTATTTGCTAACCCTTTAACTTAACCAAGCATGATGTCATTTTTTCAAGGGAATGCTTTTTTTCCTTAGAAAATGCTCAACGCATGTGCGAAAAAGCCTTCCCGTGCTCACTTCTAAGGACATTCCTAAGGGCTGTACTTTCTCTAAGATTGATTTATACATTCTCTGGGATCCATGGTACTTTATCATTCTTCCCCAGCAAGTTCAAATGCATCAATTCTTCAGTCTTTTTTTCCCTCATCATCCAGCTTTCACATGCATGAGGCTGTAGTCCTCAAGAGTAACATCTTTATTTTTCAAGTGAACACTTACACAAATTATAAGTCACCCTAATTAAAAAATACAGACTAAATCCACGAGGATGTTAATGAAAACACTATGACCACAACCAAAATGGGTTAAGTGAATGTGACAAACATGATGAAATACTTACAGCCAACAAAAACCATTTTCTGCTCTTAAATGTAGTGATATAAGAAAATAATTCTGTTACATTTTGGTGGGGGAAACGAGGAGACAAAACTACACACAAATTGGTTTTAATAAATATAAACATGTAAGCATTATTTATGTACATAAGATAAAAAGCACCACTTTACCTGTTTCTTCTTATTCGGTCTCAAAGATTTCACTGATTTACTTCAATCCTAACGAAGTCTTTCTATGTGCACTACCTAATCAACAGTAGATCTTGGCAGTGGTAAAAAGTAAGTATTAATACAAACAATTCTGATGTGGTATCAGAAGACCCTGGGTGATGAGGATTTTCAAACAGAATTATAAAATATCAAGAAAGCAGAAATGGTGGATTGTATTCTGAAACAGATCAAACCAGCAATTTTTTTGAAAAGTTTTATTCTTCAGATTTAGAAATTTGAGGTTTTTAATAACTGTAAAAGAAATTCAGTTACATCTAATGATTAACAGAATGTAATGGCATATTATCTAAACAGAACTTGTGCTTATGTGCCATAATAAATTGTCTATTAGTAAAAAAATACACTTTAGGGCACAGCATTGTATCACAAATTACAATAGGGATACTTTGCAAGTATTTAACCAAACTAGAGAATTCTGAGTAGCTGATTCTTTTAAATGCAGCACTTAAAAATGTAACAACTCTGTGCATTTTTTTTCTTAAAAAAAAATGACCTTGTGTTTCATAGAAATGCTGCTTTATTGCTGCAGAGGTCAAAGTTCAAGGCTCAAGAGGTACAGGAGAGAATACAAAGGTAGCTTTAAGAAACCTGTTTTGTTTATGTATAAAAAAGGCAAAGTTTATAAAAGTTAATTTACAAACCAAGAACAAAAGTGGTATGCACGCTTTATATACAAGCATCTTTAAAACATTGACATTTTCAAATATATAGCCAAAAAGAACTGAAAACCACCACTAACTCTTACAAATAACAACAACAAAACCAAAGATAAAAACCTCCTCAAATCACACCACGATTTCTTCTGGGTGATTATAGTTTTCTGAAACCATCAAATTCACGATCACTTACCTAAATCTTTTTCATGATACCATATTAAGATGTGCACAAAAGCGATAAAAACCCAATAATACACAAAAAGAACGATCTAGGAATTAAAAGCATGAGGGTAAGGCATTCCTGTTTGTTAGTAATGTTTGTGGTATACGGTGAATTCCTACCGTTGATCCAAAGAGGCCATGGAACCAGTCTCACATGCTTTGGTGTCCTTCCCGAAGAAAAGTGTGTTTTCATAGACAGTAATTGTTTTCACTTGACCAAAAAGGGGGCGCAGGGAGAAGAGTTGTAAATCCCCCTTGCTGTACATTTCTGTTTAATCCACCACATTGGTATATAGTTTAGATGCATTTAAAAAATGTGTGCTACTACCTCATGCATAATTAATATGTGTGCCAGGCCAGGATCATCATGGAGTTTAAAATAATATACTTTGGAAATAATAGAACTTAAACGCACCCTATATATGGTGCTGGTAATTTAACGGAAATCAGTAAGTGAAATTAGCAGTGACTATTAAAAAAAAGTACAAAAATCATTACAAAGCAATACATCTTTAACCCTCCATTCAATAGTAATAGCTCATTAATCACAAACATGCAGTTTGTAGCCTGTTTTCTGACCACAGTTCAGTGGCATGTTCACTAACTTTTATCACAGTTCAAATAAAATATGTAATACTAAGAAACTGCAGTATCAATTCTAAAAAAGTGTAATACTTGATAAAGTTCCATTCAGATTTAGTAAAGTTAATTCAGTTTCGCATTTAATAAAATTTCTATATGTTAAAAATTAAAAGTGGTCAATCAGGACAGATACACAGTTTGCTCCAACAAGGTAATTAGGATCTCCAGGAAGACATTTGTTTTGCCATGTTTTAGGATCACCTATAAGAGAAAAAGAAATTAATGTCATTTTCATGTCCATCTTGCTTAATGTATGTATATGTGTGTATGTATATATATAAAATACTGAAAGTTAGAATCACTATTTGGCTAAGAAACTGTCCCCAAGTGCCAAAATTAATATTTTCTTTCATTTTCCAAAGTCTGAGTAATGAATTATATGACCACCACTTGATTTGGGTATGAAGACTCATGTCTCACTCAACTATAGGCCAACAAATGAAACCAGCAAGTTCTGCAGAGGACATTGAAGACGTTCCTCAATGGGACAATCAGTATTATTAGGCCACAGCCCCTTGTCCTTGGCTGGACACAAAATGCTCACAGAGCTGAAGTGGGAGTCTCAAATGGGTTCAGATACTGGTAATTTAGAGTCATAGGTAGAGCAAGGTAGTTAGGTAAACTCAAAACCAAGGCTTTTACCATCTTGTGAAGTCCAACTCACAATTATCCCATTTGTGCCTCAGTATCACAGTTGCATATTGTTTTCTTGGCTTAGATCTTTATGAAAACAGATCAGCAAGCCTTTCTTCTGTAGCACTGCTGCATGGGTTACAACTCCAGACCTTTTTTGTTAGAAGTGAAAATCCTTTGCAATACTCAAGGACCTAGGAAACCCTGAACAGTAAATGTGAAGCTGGGATAAATGTCATGTCTCTGTGATATCCAAGGTAAGGTGACAGTCAAGAATGTTTACTTTCTCTGAAGGAGCCTCAATTATGAGAATCAGATGGTTTCCTGAAGGCTATGGATGACAGTGTATTCCAAGATATATTTGTGGGAACTACAAAGAATCTAAGCCTCTGGTGATCGTCCATAGTAGAGGGATGGGAGGAAAGTGGTTACTAAACAAAGAGCCTTGTAGCGTGAGTATAGAAGATCAAAGGGATAAACCTGACATGAACAGCTAAAACCTTGTAGTTGATACCCTTTCTGATGCATGCTGGACCAGATACAGTTTACAACATTTTCTGTAAATATTGTTTGGTGTTACCCTGTTTCCCCGAAAGTAATATATCCCCTGAAAATAAGACCTACCTACAGTTTTGCCTCTCAAATATAAGGCATCCCTCCGAATATAAGACCTCCCTGAAAATAAGCCCTCCCGAAGCTATTGTAACTCTGGACTCTGGACCATAGTGGTGGGTGCCGCAGTGCAGCTCACTTTTGGCCGCAGAGCAGCCGGAGCAGACAGGAAGTGCAAGGCCTCTTTTTTTTGTGTGTGTGCGTGTTTTCCTTTTATTTAAGCAGTTTTTATCTATTCATTGATAATTCTAGTGGCAAACATATCCAACTTCCTTTAAAAGAAAAATATGAAATGTATGACAGACTTGCTTGTGAGCTCAGTGCATTGTTGGCTAATTATCATTGTATTAAACATTGTAGATTTTCTTTCTAATATAAATAATATAATGAGAAATCAGTGTCTATAAAAGCCATGCTTATATTGCAAGGAACTCAATTAGCATCGAGTAATATAGCATTTTATAAAACACTTATTTCTTTCATTCTGGATATACATTCATGAAACATCAGTAAGTACATGTATTATGTGA